TGACAGGATTCATTCCAACCCAGCAAGATACCAGCAAGCCAGCTCATTAAGATGAGCGTGCTCTTTAGCCACCGATTGTTGGCAACCACAGAAGGGGACGCCAGATCACCTGACACGAAGCCTACAGCCGCATTCGAACCCAGGAAGAGCCGCTGCAGACACGCCTTTCTTGCGTCGCATCTGTGCAGCTCCTGCACAAGAGCCTCTTCTGACTGAAGATGTGCTGATGAAGAACAGCCCAGATACACCCAACTGCACCTCGACTACGGACAGTGGTCTCCAAGAGCCGTGCCATTCTGGGGTTGTACAGCTCACTTATTTGTGTTTCCATGGCACATTTTGGCGTATTAGCTCGTTTGTGTAATGATTAAAAAAGCAGGGGTACACAGATTAGAAGACTGGAAGTCAAGAACCAGCAGTTAAAAATCCCAACCCGTTTCAGGACAGCCAGCTTTTCCAGGACTTGGATCTCTGGGATCGACTCCTGCGTGGTCAGGGAGCTGATGGGACACGTGGACATCACAGCTGTGACATGCCTGAAGGAACAGCATGATGTCACTGCACACCCGGTGATGTCACTGCACGCCAGGTGATGTCACAGGAAGCTTGTCCAGCATGTCCCTTAAAAACACTGTATCCTTAAAAAATAAGACAGCTCTGCTCAACTCACCCCAGTGCTTCCTTTCTAGCGAGTCCTGGTCACAGTCTCATGGAGACACGATTCAGTATTGACAATGTAATGCTGGCTCAGACTTCAAAGGATTGGTCATTTGTGATAGAGACAAGGAGCTGTTCAAACCGCGTGTAAATTCAAACTTTTTTTCCCACAAAACCTTGGTGTGCCTGAACCACATTCCCCGAGGAAACATCTGTACATGAAAGGACAGTAGGCAACATGGACTCTTGAAATTTTATGCTTCGTTTTTATTTTGACATTCAGTTCCGTAAAAGTAAGAAGACTCCAGCCAAATTCTCTTGCTCAGTCACAACTGAAATTTGCTCGGAATTCAGCAGTCTCGGATTAACACCTCCTGTTAGTTGAATATTAAAAAAAACATCATAAAAAATAGAATGTAATCTGGATTAGGGTTTCCTCATCTCTCCAATGAAAAAAAATCCCTTCACTCGAGAATACATTTCAAACGATAAGATACAAAAAAAACCCTACAGAAGCCACGATGAATGTGAAATTCACATACATCATGAACAACATTTCGCATTCAAGGAAACGTGCAAAAGCTAACCAATCCCTACAAAATAATAATAATTTAAAAATGGCATTTGCTGAGTTTGTTCATACATCGTATATGTATTCATTCTCACAAATGCAATCAATGCAAAATAACACTGTCAAAATAAATTCAGTATTTGAGTGAATTTCTTTTGCTCGCACCAGCTCTCAATCCATGGACGGAAGCTCTTCCCACTTCTACCAGTAGAGGGCACCAAAGTGTTCACGCAAGCTTTCGCCCATTTCACATCCACTGGTGCTGCATTAACACTGTAAGTATATCAAAACCCCTTAAACAGTTTTTTTTCCTCATACACACCAAAAAATATTTGGTACCTGACAAGACAACTTTGGAGCATTGCTATAAATTACATTAGTGCAAATGCGGTGGCAGATTATTGATTAAAAAATTAAATCCTACATCAAATACAAGACAGCGACAACGTGCTAGCCTAAAGCGTGCTTAAAGCTTCTAGTACATCAAAACCTCCGTCTTTCCCCTCGTCCTGACCTTCTGTTTAACAGTCATAGTATCCTGCCCCCCCCCCGCAGGCAGGGCGGCAGGGAAAAGGTTAATTCAGCAAGGAGCTGGGAGAAGGGGGGTGGGTCACGGGAGAGGGCGATGGGTCGTTCGCTTGCTTTGGAGTCTGAGCTGTCAGTGGGCAACAGCAGCTCTGCGCTCTGCAAAGGGCTCCCGGCGCTGGCACAGGGATGGACTCAGTGTTCCCGGGTCGCTGGCGCGGCCTGGCCTTCAGACACACCGGTGGCACAGGTAGGCCCTCCTGGCACGCACCCTGCGGAGTTCCGGCTGGCGCAGACAGTTTCCTGGCACTCCATCGGAGAAGGAGCCTGCCCTTCCCAACCCTGGTCCCGCCCGCCCACAGACTGGGGACAGTTCTCAAGGGGGTCAAGGTGTGTAGGGTGGAGGCCAGCGCCAAGTCCCTCCTGACTGGCGTCATGGGGCGCTGGGAGACCCGATTCAGGGTGAGGCTGGGCCTCCGGTGCGCAGCTACCCTCTCCTGTAGAGTCTGTTCCCCCCGGAACGGCCCCGCCCTCTGGGAGGGGCTCTGCAGGCCCCGCCTCCTCTGGGTTTGGAGGAGCAGGATCCTGTGGCAGCTGCCCCACCCCCTGTGCTTCCTGTGGAGGCGTGGCGGCCGTGGCCGTCGCTGATTGGCTCTTGAGCTGGCTGTGGCAGAGGGGGCAGGTCTCTTGGACATACAGCCACTTTTTCAGGCAGCCAGCATGGAAGAAGTGACTACAGGGAGTGATGACTGCAGACTTCATGTCCTGGAGGACAGCAAAACAAAAATTCAATCAAGTAAACAGATTTTTTACAGTACAGGTACTTGTTAAACTTAAGGTTAACTGGAGTTATACAATTTTGCTCCAGAGAGAGTCCTGTCATTTTTCTTTCATTTTGTAACAAAGTGACTCCAGAATACAAGGTCCAACTTCAAACGTGCTTTTTAAAGTTCCAACAGAATTTCACATTTTCAACTGACAAGTTTTAAATCCAGTCAGTTACTCAGCTCTGAAAAGACACGGTGCTTAAGGATTATAGGGATGAACCATATCTCAGTAAGCTCCTTAATGCCTTCAGCACTGGGAGCAGCTCTGCTTTAGCTGAATGAGTGTGAGGTTATGAAGTGGGCACCGGTACTACAGCAGTGCTCTTTGACCTCATTTCCTGACTGATGTGCAGCTCTTGCTCTTGGTTTTCAGCAGAAGAAGGTACCAAGTCCAAATTAGTATAAGATGTATGTGAATTTCACATGTTGGCAAGACCACTATTATTTTCAGTTCTAGCGAGAGAATTCATAGCACTAAAAGATTTCAGTCCACCAACAGTGAAAGTTTATTATTTTCTGTCCTTCAACGCTGATTAACTACACCGTGTCTTTTTTTCCATAAAAACAGAAATTTCTTCAGCTAACTGCTTTGTCAATATGCTTTTGTCTCAGATGCCCCACCCATATCTGTGTAAACTCCTACTCCATCAGTCTCCCACTGGCTCGTTGCTCGTGCACCACCCAAACTCTCTCTGCTTTATTCGCCTATCGTGCACCTTCACCCTGAAAGGTAATCGTACTGAACAAACTCCCAAGGACAGGATGTGTCCAATCAGGGTGACCTTGTTCCTGGACCCTAGGCACAGGAGTCTTCCCTGAATGATCTACTGGACCTATTGGTGAGTGCTAACAGAGCAGGTGCTGTTGGTCTCTCACTGCCCGAACACGTCCCTAGGGCTGCAGGATGACGGCTCTCTAAAGTGGGGGTTGGCAGATACGTCCGATCACCGACTCTTGACCTTTGTGTACCTGGTAGCAGATGGCACAGATGTCGTTGTGCTTCTCCAGCTGCTCCTGCGTGGCGGTGGGCAGGGACTTGATCTTGGTGACGGCGTCGCGGCGCAGCAGGAAGCTCTGCCAGCCCAGCTGGGCGCGCAGCCACACGTTGTAGTAGGAGTGGACGAAGATGATGGTGGAGCCCATGACCGTCCACTCCCCGAAGACGGTCTCGGACACGCCGTAGGCCACCACGCAGAGCGCCACCAGGAACTCCAGCAGCCGGTAGGTGCCGTTGACGTAGTAGATGACGTCGTCCATATTCTCCACAGGCTCCTTGCGGAACTCCTCCACCATGAACAGCACGTAGATGAACAGCGTGCCCAGAACCTGAGAGGGGGACACAAGAACAGTGAGGGCTCGCCCATCTGGTAATCAAAGGGGAATGGCAGTCCAGATTGCTCAAGTAGGTAATTAAATCTCGGAAAAATGTTACAAGTTTCGAATTAAGCACAAAATCATGACCTTTGTGAAAGTGCTGCGAGTCGCCATGTTGTCGCAAATGGGTCTCGCCACGGGCAAGAGTGAGAATTCTGCGATGTGAAGCGGCCCTTCCTGCTCACTAGTCACTATAATGACTGGTGTAAGGCCATGTGCCGATGTACGAGCGAATAAGCACAGGTTGTGCAGCAGACGGTTCACAGCAGAAATGTTCCAAGGGGATCTATATGCAGAGTTAACAAGTAAGTTCCGTTTATCGGCAAAACCATCTCAAAGTCGAGAGGAATATTTCTCTTGGATTAAGAGACGTATGTATTCACAAGCCTGCTTGTTTACAATGTAACATGGCCGGTTCACCTCACTGGAAGTTTTGTTGCCTTATTCTGAATCACAGAATCTGGTGCTGCACATACTTGGAAATCTAGTCTATTTGTTTATGTAAGTTGGAGGTTTCACAAGTTATTGAGTACATTTGACTTTGCTGTTTGAAAAGCACTCATCAGTGCTGGTGGAAAGCAGGATCTCGGCTTCAACAACACGGCTTGCTCCACACTCTCGCCACCCTTTTTATAAAGAAGTGCCTCCTGTCCTGACTAGAGGATCTCATCCAGTGTTCTCTTGGATGAAGCCAGGGTATTGGCCTCAAATAAATGGCTGGGTGGCTTGTTCCACACCCCCACCACCTTTTGTGTAAACACGTGCCTCCTGTTCTTGCTTTTAAATGCACTTCGTGTCACTCCAGTACCCTAAACACACTGGTGGTTTGCATTTGTGTTCCCATTTTCCATGAGCAGTAAAGAGTCATCACAGGAGACGTGAATCTTAAAGCAACTGCTTTGGAACTGGGTGGGTAGACAAAAAAAAATGGGCAATTATAGGTTCGTTTGAGGAAAAAACGAATGCTGTGACAGAGCTAAGGAGGTACATAGGCCTGCCAATATCTCAACAGGAGAAGGCTCTCAGACACTGCAGGGTTAACTGCTGGGTGTGCAGCCCATCTAAGGAACGAGAAACACTTCATCACTGGGGCTGGCACCCTCCCAGCACACCTGGAACAGAACCGCGCTCTGAATAATGGCCTGCGCTCAACTCAGCAGTTTTCTTTCTTTCTTGCTTTTTTCTTCTTAGAGCAGAAAGGGAGAGAGGGAAAGGAGAGACAACAAAGGGCCCCGAAAAGGGCCGACAGAGAAGAAGACGAGGAAGAGACAGAAGGCGGGTGCGCAGTACCTGCAACGAGGTGAGGACGCTGCTGGAGATGATGATGAGCAGCCAGAAGTCCATGTGGAAGAACTGGCAGATCATGTAGGCCATGTAGGCGGGGAATATCAGCAGGAAGAGGCACAGGCTCACCGCGCGGAAGTGCTTCCATAGGCTCCTGCAACACACAACACACCAACACACTCAGCCAGAGCTTCCCTAACCACGCCCGGATTTCAGGCACGCTGTGGAATGAGAAGAGATCACGTGCAGAAGGCCTGCGCCAGGAGCTTTATGAACTGCTCTTCTCTGCATGGCACCAAATCCAGCACACGATGGAACAACACTGTTATTTCCCTTCCCAGAGTAGCGGGCGCTACAAGAATAGTTCACTTGAACAGTTCAGGTGAAGTGACACACCTGAGAACAGCGTGTCACTCCAGTACCCTAACCACCGCCCTTGACTCCTGCCCCAATGATGAGCTCTTCCAGCGCCTTCCAGAGCGTTACTCTCACCTCACTAGTATCTCCCTCTCTTCTTCCTGAAGAGATCATGCCAAAATACAGCCGTATAAGTGGACACAAAAGTAGGTCCCGAATAAATTAATCGTAGTAATTCTGATGCAATAGAAACATCCAGGCACGACAGGAAAGTACAAATATCTTGATCTACCACATGTCTCCATCCCATATGTACTGTATCATCAATCTGATACTTGTCACATGTGATGTCACTCACATCACCTGCCTATCAATCCTTATATTTTCACAATACAGAAACTCCAGACAGCAATCAGGCCACAGTGGGTCTGTGCCGTGCCTGGAGGAGCTGACCTGCCACCACCCCACCCCCCGGGGGCCCTTACTTGTCTCGCGAGGCTCCCAGTGCCAGCACGATGGGGTCAGCGATCTCCAGCATGGACTGCAGGATGGAGGCCACCACGATGAAGAGGATGATGCTGAGGAGGAAGGCTCTGTGGATGACCTGCAGCTCGATCAGGCCGGTCTGCACGGCCAGGATGAGGAGAGTGATCCCCTCGGTCATGCCCCTGAGGCCGGGGAGAAGAGAGACAGCAGGGCACTGAGCGCGCACATCCGGACAATCCAGCACAAGCTGAACCCCGAACGTGCGCAGCACCAACACACTGCTACTGCCCAGCCCTGGGCTCTGATCTTCAATAGCACGCTCGGTGCTGCTGCTTGTTGGGCTCGGCTGGAAATTTTCAATCAGCAAAAAAAAAATGTAAGAATTGTCTGGCTTATTCCACTTGTCGACCCTGTGTTTTCATGCTGGGGGACAGCGAGAAGGAAAGGCCACTCCTACCGCGATGTGGCCTCACCGGTGCATGGTGTTGTCGTTCATGAAGGCGCGGTAGCCCTGCAGGTAGAACTTGCAGAGTGTGAGGACGCCCAGCGCCACGAAGGAGACGGTGAAGACCAGCCCCAGCAAGGAGTAGGGGGTGCTGCAGCACTCGGCGATGCTGTGGGGATAGGAGAGAGGGGCTCAGTGCCAGCCCGAAGAACATTATCCCCATTCAGGCAAATCATACACACTTCCATAAGAACAAATACACATAGTAGCAATACAGATGTAGACATCATTTCTTTTAGACGAAACTCACTAACGGACAACTTTAATTTTGTACTCTGTTCCTATATTAAGGAAAATATTAAAAATACCACAACAATGTGTTGTTTGAGTGTGAAGATTATTTCCGAGTTCCACTTTTTTATACATATCCTTCTATACTATTCTCAGCCTCAACATATCCCAGGATGTGTGAGATTTTATTTAAAAAAAAACAAACTCAGAGCACTGATCACCAGCACGCGTACAATACAGGACCGGATGAAGAAAAGGGGGTGCAGAGAGCTGTGCACACCTGGTGAGGAAGAGGAACAGCAGTCTCTCCCGGGAGGTTGGCTGGTCACGGGTGCTGAAGTATGAGTAGATCTGAAGGGCAAACAGGACCAGCCAAAAACTCATGAAGAGGACAGGAACCACCAGCTGATTCCACAGGGACATGCCCAGAGCCAAGAGACCATACACCTCCACCACCTGAGACGGAGAGAGGGAGAGGAGTCAGTACTGTCAGAGAGGGGCAGGGGAGACAGTACACAACACCTCCTGACGCAGAGAGCCAGGCGTGTCAGTACTGTCAGAGAGAGGCAATGGCGTCAGAAGACAGTACCCCTAAATCACCAACAGAGATGTGCTCGCAACACAGGTCATCATTCACACTAAATATAACAGTCCTAGTCCAGGAAGGCTGTAGATCTTCAGAAGAAAACAGGGCATTCTACTTCCCATACTCCTATGCAATATAATCTCTAATCCTTTCCCTTACTGACGCAAAAGCCTAAAAAAGTGTCACCAGAACCTTCAGAACAGAAAATCCCTACCTGCACAAGCTCTCGGTACGCAGTCTTGGCCAGGTTGTAGGGCACCAGCAAATTGGAGGCCAGGAAGTAGAGAACCTCCAAGCCAGTGAAGATCATGGCAAAGCGGTTGATGAACACAATTGTCTCCAGGGGCACCAGGCACAGTCGGGCCACCAGAGGGAGCAGGTGAGCAGAGAAGAGCCATATCTGTTTGGTCTGCATGACGCAGGAGCACAGAGTGCACACCACAAGCTGCCCTAAAACAGAGTGCGCACTCAGGGTCAGCACAGCACTAACAGCAGGGGGCACCAAGCTGCAGACATGCCATACGTCAGACAGGAAATTGAGCCTCCGGCTGTCTATGCTGGGGTGGTTGACTCAATTTGCAATTAAGTAAGGCTAAGATTTAGCACGGCTAGGTCATGAATTGATTACCTGGTCATTTAAATATAGCAGCGGATAGATAAGGAGTTGCTCTACGTCACATCCGATGTCCACGCTGACCATATTGTGTCTACTGATCTTAAAAAATGCACCAAGTGTTAACATCAATCCTGTCCATCTAGATCTTTACCCTGTTTCTGCCCTAAATCTGGATTGAACTAAAAATTTTCATATGCATTTAGCTAATTTAGTTGTTGAACAATGTGATGCTGCAGAGTCTATACCGGCGTCACACGGCACGACCTCTAGTCAGAGAGCATGTCAAATTTAGTGACTGCAGTCGCTGAATGTGCTGCGAAAGTACTGCCTCATTTTGGCAGCCAATCAACGTGGAGCACAAGAGGAGCGCCGCACAAAAGTCGACAAACGTCCTTTGTGAGGAGAAAAAAAGGAAGAGGATACGCCGAAAAACTTGAGTAGACCACATTTGTTTGGTCGTGGTACTTCTGGTTGAGCGTTCATTGGCTGTCGACCGTCGCAGACACAAGAGCCCACGCCTACGGCTTACGACTCACTGGGAGAAAATCAAACCAGTTGAAAAGTCGCGCAGTGCGACGCCAGCATTAGACAACCCACCCCCCCACAGACCACCAAATCTTTTCCTTGCCGGGATTGGCAAAAACTTTCACTTTGGCTGAAAAAAGTTTCTCTCAATCACGGCAAATGGCAAACTTCCGATTTTCCCCCAAATCAGATGCCAGAGCTCACAACAATGAGTAACAAGGTCCAAGGTAGTGCGTCAGTTTGGGACACTCTGTTCCAGCACTGACCCACTGTGTTGGGTCATCAGATTACTGCACCATAGGCCCTGACACTTTATTCCTGAAGGATACTGGCTCTTAAGAACTACTGCGCAGGGCAGAAATCAGAAATGAAACTTGCAGTGTCTCCATGTACGTCAGTCATATGCAAACTGTTAGTTAATACAAGTCAGACAATACAGACAGAACATTACTAAACCCCAGGTGTTTCTGTTATCGTCTCTGAGCACACCAGAAACTTTCTGTGGGTGTACTGTACTGAGCACAGGTGTGGCCTACTGCAAACAAACAGCCACAAATTGGGTTTGACAAACCAGACTGTCTCTTTTCTTCAAACCAAAGGGTAAAAAAAAATAAGAGGCCCGAAAAAGCAGCTGGGATCTCTTAAGCAAAAAGAGAACCCTCTTTTCCTTGTGCAAAGTGACACTCAAGTTTTTGTATTCTTTCCCAATTTTAATTCCCTCAACCCAAATAAGCAGGCAGCCTGCTCATTCTACAGATTGAGCTAACTTAAGATGGTGTTACACTATACGACACCACTCGACTCCTAGTCGGAGAGCATGTCAAATTCAACAACTGCAGCTGCCAATCAACGGGGAGTACAAAAGTCAACAATCAACATGGAGAACAAGCAGGTAAACATCTTGAAAAATGTAACACAGGCATTGTTGTCCACGAATAAACATCTTCAAAAACATCATTCGTCTTCAGAAATATAGAACGAATTTACAAAAATAAAACAGTTAAAAATACAAAACACCTTTAAAACAAATATTTGAAACAAATAAGTATTGTGCGATTACGTACACAAGTACACATCTGGCTCACTGCCCACCCCTACGACTTGCGACTCGCTACGAGAAAATCAAACCAGTTTGATCTTATCGTCATGGGTCGCAGAGAGTCGTAGGGGCTGTTAAGAGAGCTTTGACTGAGTCGCTGGGGGTGTCACACTACACAACTGACCGTAGCGGGCAAGAGCTGTGACTCTCTACAACTCGCTGTGATTTTCTTATGATTATGTAAATGAAGGCTACGACTGAAAATCCTAGGAAAAGTCGCGTGTCGCTGCCATTAGCTGCTGCAAACTAGAGCAGCGATAAGGCTTTGGGGAAAGGACAGTGAGTTGTTTGCCAGTTATCCTGAACGTGAGCTGAACTTCTTGGGCCGGGCCAAGTTCCGCTACGCAGAACTGCGCCAGCTTTTCAGAAAATTAATTTTCGATTTGACTCGGGGGGGCTGAACTGCTGAAAAAAAGGACAGATTCCCACAATTGTAAACCATGTTCTGCTAAGCTCAGTTTACCTTCAAGCTTGACCAGACTGATAGAAGAACAGCTGTGTCACATGTTAAAAAAAACAGTGCTCTGCAAAAGTATACCGATACTTCCTATTGTGTCCCATTATGAGGAATGACGATATGACATATACACATTCCAGTAAACATAACATTTGATCCAGAACCTCTGACTTCTCAATGACTGTGCTTAAAGAGACATTAAGGGTGTAATGTCCCGCGACTGCAACGGGACCAGTAGTGCGATCTGGGGAGTGCAAAGAGATCCCAAGTGCTGGGCGAGAGGCAGCAGGGCCGGGAAACCCGCAGGGAGCGCGCAGGGAACTGCATAGATCTGCACGCTACCGATCGCACGCAGCGCGCACTCTGGACACTCTGCCATGAGCTCAGTGCACCAAGTGAGACCATGACTAGCTGGGGACATGGAGAAGCTCATTCTGTAGGGCAGGGCGAATCCAAAGAACCAAAGTCCAAGTTTAAATCCGAATCCAAAGCCGGGCAGACAATGGGAGGTAACAAGCCGTAGGGTATACCGGCAGACAAAGTTGGAAAACTGAGCTGAGTTCAGGAATCCAAGAAAGGATATCATCAGGGAGACAGGGACAAGGGAAAACGAAGCTCTGTGGGCTCCGGGTATTTATGGTGAAAGACACCTGGACAGGGCGTGGTCATTAACCGACTCCAGGTGACTGGCATGGAGACGGGATGGTGTATCGCTGCCGAGGCAGAGGTCTTGATCTGTGCCTTTCTACAGCATTATCACCGAGTTGTTTTGAAAGTTCTGAGATGCGTGAAATTCACTGCCTGACAGTGGGAACTTGCAGAGACGGGTGTATTTATTCTGAAATCATGTGAACTGCATTTATTCCACTCTGAGGCCACTCAACTAATTGTGTTGCTTTGTTAAGGTAATTTTGTGCACCTAAATTAATTTAGGTTTGCCACAGTTAAGGATTTGAATACTCATGAAATAACTTTTCCCCTTTTTTCATATCTATTTACTTATTTCATTTTGTTTCTTGTTTGGACAACACAAAACAATTTCCAGGGCCACGGTCTGCGATTTAGAACAAAGCAACAAAACTTCTGGTGACGTGTGCAGCCCTATGACATTGTAAACAAGCAGGCTTGGGAATACACCTCTTTAATACAATAGGAATATTGCTCTCGATTGTGAGACGGTTTTGCTGACAAATAGTACTTGTTAACTCTGCATGTAGATCATGCTGGAACATTTCAGGGGTGAAATGTCTGCTGCACATCCTGCGCTTATTCGCTGGTACATTGCAGTATCTAGTGAGCAGGAAGGGCCACATCACGTCGCAATTCAGGGGAACTTGAATGCGAGTTTGCGACAACATTGCGGCTTACAGTATTTTCACAAAGCTTACATTTTTGTGCTTAAGTCTGAATTTGTAATTTTTTTCTAGAACATCAATGAATGTATTTTGCTACCGAGATCCACTAACCGGTCTGAGAAATTGGGACTGCAGTTCCCCTTTAATTACTTAATTGATTATTTCCTTATTTGGTGGAAATTGCCGTTTGCTTCAGGTCTTCAGGCACTGGATAGTAAGTGCTCTCTATAAAACTTACACCAGGCAGGGCCAGGAAACAGCACTGCCGATGTATAGATGAGTGCACGCTCCCTGAATGGGCGAGGCACTTACCCACGAGAGCTGTGGTGAAGCGGTTCATGGACAGTGGCTCCAGGTACAGAGGCCCTTCGTACCCCGACTCCAACTCGCTCCTCACGTAGTCTCTGAAAAGCCAGCAGGACATAGTCAGAGCCTCCCAGCATCTGACAAGAGTCACTGCTCTGGGAATAAGGCTCACACGGGACTGATCACCTGCATCCAGTTTAACTAACCAGCAGCCTTTCTGCGAAATCTGCCGAAGCACATGCATTTTACCATTACTGTAATGCCAAATGTCTGCTGATGCAGAATTAACACAACGAAGGCTGAGATGGTCAAGTGATGAAGCATTAGACTTGAAATACGCTGGTGTTGCCAGCTGCCAACTGTTTACCCAGAAGGCTCCTACAGCCCAGTCAGGCTGCTGAAGAAGATACTGTGTAGAATAAAGCCAATTGTGCCATAGAATCCTATTTAAAATTGAAAACGGGAAGCATTTCCTTTCGCAAAGGGTGGTGGGAGTGTGGAACAAGGGAGCCGCACTGCATGCGCCTCTGCCTATATATAAAAAAAAAGGTTGCTCTGGATAAAAGCGGCAGCCGAGTGATCTGACCAATCCGACTGGTCCCCAGGCGGGAGTGTGCTTTCGCGGCGGCAGGGTTACCTGGAGATCTGGTGGCCAGCGAAGAGGAGCAGCGCCGTGAGGACGTACAGGTACAGCTGGACCAGGTGTTGGCGGGGCAGAGTCAGGAGAACCACGCTCAGGATGTAACCTGCAAAACACGAGCGCCGGTCACAGTGGGACAGCCCGCACCGGCGCCGGTCACAGTGGGACAGC